CTCTCGATAGACATTTGAGTTGTTCCCAGGTTTTGCCATTGTTAATAGAACTCAAGGACATATTTTTAAAATAAAAATTTCAATCCAAAATGTCCTTTCCTTGACTCTCCAATACTGTGTCAGGCTACATTTTGTTGTCATGAAAATCCAATTACATTGAACAAGATGTGTTTCCAGAATCAAGATTCAGTATATGTGTGGTCTAGCTGTGTCCCTAGAATGTAGCCCTTATTAGTTTTATTAAGCATTTTCCTATATAAATTGAAATGAAGTAGAAGATGCATTTTTCCACAGTAGGAGACATAGAACAGTTTAGGACTTTGGAGAGATAGCAACTTGCTGCTTGCCTGTGCAACCCACCTCAAAAGATACAACTCCTCCAACTTTTGGTTTCTGGGCTAATTTGTCCTAACAATTAGATGTGAACTGACCTTATTCCCTTACAATACTACAAGTCGATCTTCTGCACCTGGCCAAATACAGTATAAAATTGATGATATACATTTCTTTGGTTTCATGCTTTCTATTTAAAGCTATTCTCTTTGACTGGGAACTATGGCTCATGCTTATAATCCCAGCACTTTGGAAGGTCGAGGTGCAGGGATCACTTGAGACCAGGGGTTTGAGACCAGCCTGGCCAACATAATGAAAGCCGTCTTTCTGAAAAATACAAAAGTTTTCTGGGCATGGTGGCACATGCCTGCAATCCCAGCTACTCAGGAGGCTGAGGCAGGAGAATCGCTTGAACCCAGGAGGCAGAGGTTGCAGTGAGCTGAGATTGCGCCTCTGCATTCCATCCTGGGTGATAGAATTAACCTTCATCTCAAAAAAACAAAAAGCTAATCTATACTTTTCTTTTGGTGCATTATTAGAATGTAGGAGGTAATAAGGCAAAACTATTGTGGGTATGTGAATGTGTGTCTGTAGCACCTAGAATACTGCCTAGCCCATCACTTGTGTGGAAAATTGAGAAAACCTTCTTAATATAACTTTTCCACACTCTAGTTCTGAATTTAAAGACAGAAAAAGATAGGTTAGCAAATATAGGTATCAGTTATTTCTATTGACATATCATTTGGAGAACACGTTTTTGGATGTGGCAGAATAAAGGTCCCTAACTCTCCACCCCAGAAATAATTTTGCTGATACAAAAATCAGTCAGACATGGTGGCACATGCTAATAATCCCAGCTACTTAGGAGGATGAGGTGGGAAAATCACTTGAACCCAGGAGGCAGAGATTGCAGTGAGCCAAGAGTGCCCCATTCCACTCCAGCCTAGGCAACAGAAAAAGACTCTGTCTGAAAGAAAAAAAAAAGTTGTTACTATATAGGAGACAATTTTATTGTCCTCTCTTTTAAAATTGAAGAGTACATTTGGGTCGAATTCTTATGCCTGCAGAGACATTTGCCTCTGGCTTAAAATCACTGGCTCCAGGAGGAAACTCCACCAGAGGGCATCGTAAGGATTTCATAGTGTCTAAGTCATCTTGGTAATTCTTCAAATAATTCCTGGCAATTCTGTTAGGCCTTGAACTTCACTTACTTCTTATATGTTTAATAAAAAGAAGTTCAAAACGTTGCCATGGCTGTTGAATTCCCACAGGCTTGTCTTCCCCTTAAAATTCATTACGTGGTTTGTACTCTTTTGCAAATATAATACATAAGTTTGGAGGTGGATGCTTTCAGCCATTAAGTTCAAAAGTACTGCTACATGGGCTGGGCATAGTGGCTCATACCTCTAATCCCAACCCTTTGGGAGGCCAAGAGGTGCAGATCACAAGATCAGGAGATCGAGACCATCCTAGCCAACATGGTGAAACCACATCTCTACTAAAAATACAAAAATTAGCTGAGTGTGGTGGTGCGCAAGTAGTCCCAGCTACTTGGGAGGCTGAGGCAGGACGATTTCTTGAACCAAGGAGGCGGAGGTTGCAGTGAGCTGAGATCACACTATTGCACCCCAGCCTGGTTATAGATCAAGATTATGTCTAAAAAAAAAAAAATACTGCTACATGGACATCCATCATTCCGGCATCTCTGCCATAACAGCTGAGTATCGAGAATGTCTGTTAGTTTCTTTAACTCCAAATTTGTGTTGTGTCCCTTGGTCTCCTGTCGTACCATAAAGTGTATTATTTACAAAAAGGACAATTTATCTATAGTTATTTCCTCTCAGTATGCTACATCCTTTTAGAATTTAAACATAGTGTCTCCCAACCTGAAATTTGATTTTTAAAAAACCAGAAAAATGTTTTTGGGCATCTTTTATTTCCAGCTGTTTTCATCTTCATCTCCTCTCCTGAACTCAACTGAGGGTAAAGTTCATTCGTCAAAATTTCTCCTCAACTCACAACAACCTCATCCCATTCCAATATAATTTTTGTCCCCATGAATTGATGCACATAATTTTTGCTGGCAGTGGTAATGTTCTAATAAAAAAAATCATGAGATGGCATCAGACTTTACCTTATGTTCTAGCTCAGCAGAATTTGATCCCTGTCTGATAAGGAAACCATAATTTCCCTAGAAACTTTTCACTTTTGTCACAGGTTTGGTTCCCAGGGAGCTGGATATAGATGAAGTTTAGTGTGCAGGATGTTTATTAGGAAGTAATGTCAGGATCCACATCTGTGGAAAGGATTAGAGGGAAGCCTTATGTGCAAAGGGACAAGTCTAATGGCAACACAGCCTGACTTTGTCAACAGGCCGCACAGACAGAGCTGTTCAGCTAAGAAGGCCTCCCCTATTTGTCCCAATCGAATCAAATGGCAAAGTCTACGCATCCCTTGCCTCCATTAATAATTGTGTGCTTGCCACTTGTGGAGGGTGAGACTTTGAAGCAGGTGGCTTTCTGTGGCTGAAGAAAACCTTAAATGTGCTGGCAAAGTTTTCCAAAGAGACAGAGAATGGCATCTGCCATGTATGTTGCCCCTTTCCAAAGAGGAAGCAACAAGGATAATGTCCTCCAGTGGCTCTGTATGCAGATGGGTGGACAGTAATGTCTGTCCCTCCTGTGACCTAAGAAGAACAGGTGGCAGACATGCAGCCAGGCAGTTAGAGGTGCCACAGTGTTAGGAGATAAACAGCTGTCATAAGCAGTGCTTCTTTGAATCAGGTGTGACACAAGTCTTGCATCCCTTGCATGGACTCCTTCCCCGTTATCCTGCTGTCCTACCTCATGAAGGTGAGTGGGGGCTGGGTGGTGGGCAGTCCCAAGACGAGGTACACTTTGCCTGCAGTGTTCCCACATGAGTTCCAAGGTAGCCCAGGTGGTCATCCTTGAAGTTTGTATTTTCCTTATGCTTCTTGTCTTTGCCTTTGAGGAACACGTTTCATTGGACTCTGAGTCCAAACAACTCATGTATCCCTATATCTTCACCTTGTCCTTCACTTAAGGGAATCTCTAATCTCTAATGCCTTTGTTTTATTATTACTATCACTATTATAATAATTAACATTGTCGTTATTAACTTCATTGTTGATTTTCAGTTATTTTTATTCATGGAGTTAATATGAATTATTCTTTTGTGGCTACTTACACCAAGATGAAGATAATTTATTAGTTCAGGAAGAATCTGCATTCTGAAGGTGAATAGAAGTTCATGCTACAGATGGGCAGACACGTGCCCTCCCAATTCCTGATGGACCTCCTAGTGCCTCCTAGACCTAAGGGGTCTCCTGCAATGCTCCAAGATGCCACCAAGGCAGGGATGTGCTTGTGCATGCCTGAGAGCATTCAGGATGAAGTGAGGCTCTGGAAAAATGCACGAGTTTCCACAAAATCCCCAAAAACCTTACAGAACTGGATGCCACAGAAACAGGAGTGGTCATTGACACAACAAAGTCACCAAAATTGTTTTGAAGTCAATTAGGAAACCCAGGAATCACTCTTGCTGCCATTAAGTGGAAGAACAGGAGCCTGTGAATGGCATCCTTGTCCTGCCTGAAACTCCACAGATATTTCTGTGTGGCTTCAGGTACCAGGAATCTCCGTGACTTTCAGAAAGGCAGGGACAGCTTATGCCAGCCCATCCCTCTGCAGAATGTGCCTCAGCAGATCAAAGGCATGGAACCATCATGGACTGCACAAAGGCTCAAGGCCAGCTTCCCAGACCTGCCTGTGACTCTAGGTAAGTTCTGAGTCCACGTGGGTGCCAAGGAAAGGTTAATGATGACCTGGAAAGATGGGACAAGCAGACACCACCCCTAAACAATCTGCAGGATTCTAACTTCAGCAGGAAGCCAAAGACCAGCTCATGCCACACTAGTGCACCTTGAAAACCCCTGAATGCAATGCCGCTCTGCAGAGAGTTCAACAAAGAAGTGGCTGGGAATTTTGCATTCTAGGCTGCATTTTGCAGTGCTTCTGGACACGTGATCAGAAATTGAACATTGGTATATCTAACTCTGACATTTTTCACAAAATGTTTTTTTAAAATGAGGTAATATAGACAAAATATAATACAACCATATGTATTATATGCCAAAATATGCTTCACTGGCATCAAGTAGACTCACCTTGAAATACAATCTAGGACAACCTCCATTTTCAGAGTATTTTCTTTTCGAAAGTGAAACTCTCCCACCAAAAACCAACAACATCACAGGTTTTTGCCTCCAACAAACCGACAGAAAGCCAATACATTTATTCTTCCACTGTAAAGTGGACTGCGGTGCAACACATACGTGTGAAACCCCATATGTGGCATCACCGTGAGCCAAATGGGGACTCGTGGTGTAAGCAACACTCCCCATGTGTTAGTGTGCGTGAGATTCACTTGGCGGAATTTGACTAGGTGCGTGTTGGTAGAGTGGGGCTGAGGTTCTCTTGCCCCTGTGGATGCTTAAGAAGTCACAGGTCCTGCGAAGACCTGCGGTCCCCTCAATCAACTCTGTTTCGGAGACAAAATGACTTGGATTGCTGACCAGTCAAGAAATTTTCAAGCCCTTGGAAAATCAGTTACACACAAACACGGAATGAAAGTCAAAAGAGAGTACGTCATCTTTTTGAGAATTTTATTCACTTCAAAACAAATTAAACACACCTATTTCCAATGGCATTCCAGAGCCCAATTTTCGAGGCTGAGGAAACACCCCAAGAACGCTTTGCGCAGAACGCTTCACAGCGTCCAAAACACTGCTGTCAGGGCGGGGCACAGCTGAAGGCCTGCATCTCTCAGGGTTCCCTAACTGTTCCCTGATTCAGTCATCTAGAGAGCAAATGCACAGTCATTCCCCAGTTTCCTACTGACATCACAGCGGAAGTCTGACTCCCACGCGTCACCGTCACCCAGTTTCTGAGGCAACGAATCACTGGCACAGAAGCTTCTGGTGGTGGGTTTCCGGAGCGCCCTGCGAACTACAATGTCCCTCACCAGAATTCGATGAGGCAGAGTCTCTGCATGTGGTCCCTGCCTGGCCTGGGCTCCAACATCCCCAGAAGCACCACAGCTGGGGAGCTTGGGAGTCACCACACACAGTCTGCTCTCTGCTCTGTGCTCCTCAGTCCCACAGACCCCTCCAAATCACGGGAGCTGGATGCAATGGAGCCCTAGCCACCTGTAGTCTCACTCCAGGTCAGAATCGCTGTCCTCTGAGGAGGAGGAAACCTGAAGGTCCTCATAGAGGACACTCAGGGGGACAGGAACACAGGGAGCCTCAGACTTCTCTGAGACATGACGGCTGTGAGCGAGAAAAGCTCCCGGCTTCTCAGGAGAGGGAAACGAGGGAGCTGTCAGGAGGCTGGAGCTCCACCATCCGTTTTCCAGTCTCCGGAAGAGCATTCTGAGAGGCTGGGCCCCATAGTGGCTGGCCACTGGGTGATGGGACATGGTGCAGGCCTGGGCAGTAGGCAGGCAAGGTCTGCTGTGCGGAGGCTGCCGATCGCTGCTGGGCGCCTGGGCAGGTGTCCCCTTGCTCATCTGGGGCGACGGACTTGGTCTGAGTTCGGTTGCAGCTGGCGGAGGTTGGAGAGTCTCCGGGGCCCCCAGCTCACCTCCCTGGATGGCATTTTCGGGCATCTGGAAGGGACCCATTCTCGGTTTCTTGGGGAAGTTCAGGCAAGCCTGAGTCGGAGCCTGGGCAGGTCTCTTGGCTCCTGGCCTGAAACTGAGATTGGAGCCAAGGCCCAAGCTGTGTGTGTCGGCTGGTGGGCAGGGCTGTGAGGTCACTGCAGGACGTTTGTCTTGTGCCTGGGGGCTGATGACCCGGATCAGGCCATGGGGCTTGGAGGCAGCCTGGGGAACTTCTCCATAGCCACCTTGAGGCCTGCTGTGTGTCGGCTTCACCACGACGAGAGGCTCCAGGCCCTGCTGCTTGACTCCAGGCTGAGGGATGTCGGCCACAGCCCCTGTCTGTCGTTCCTTTGGTCGGAGACTTGACGAGGAGCTCAGACTGGCTTTTCTGAGGGGAGACAGTGAAGCCAAGACGGATACCGTGTCAGACATTTTGGTAGCTGAGCCATCAGTTTGGGCACGGTACACGCGTGGCCTCTTATTAGTTGTGTGGACCGGCACTGGCCTGCTTGCAACCTGAAAGAAAGGAGACCACACACGTTAGAAGTTCCTCGGCATCAAGCCAACATGGAAATCAACCACATCCAAAGACAAGGTGCACACAGCAGGAAATTCTTAATACGGTACGGACAGGCGGTCCTTGGAAGTAGGGACAGATCCTCAAGGTGAGTGCTGATCGGGACAAGACCCATGAAAAATGCACTCTCGAGCTATGATCTGAGAATACCATTTTTCTAAAGACTGTGTCTTGGGCATTCACTGGATCAAAGCGCCTCCACTCAGCCTCCCATGAAGTGGGACGGACTAATGCCCTTCTGAAGGCAAGTCGGTGTTTCAAGGGTTCCCAGGACGTCTTTTCTGAAAACATGCATGTTCCTGGGGTGAGCCGCCTCCATGTTTGGGGCCCCTGAGGGACTAATTTCCTCACGCCACTAGGAAGATGTTGTTGGCAGGCTTGCCATCATTGCACAGAGAGAAAGCAACAGGAAATATGGCATCTTCAGATGCCTTCATCTGGAATCAAATGGACCTGGAAGGATGGTGGAGTCCCTGACCCCAAGAAGGCAGGGAAGAAGGGTTCCCCGATCCCCTCACACACACGGGAACCTCAAAGGAAATCAACCAGGGTGACCTAGAGGAGAAAAAGACCAGTGGCCCAGGGTGACACTCACCCTCAGATGATCACAAGATTCCATGGATTCTTTTCGATTTGGCGGCAGCTTCTCCGGAGGTGTCCCGGAAAAGATCTGGAGGAGAGCCTTCCTCTGCGGGTCTTGTTGCCTGCAGAAGAGAAAAAGTTCAGGCCCTGCCCCCTGGTTCTCCCCAGGAGACAGGGAGAACCCTGTCTGGGGCCCAGTCCCGTTCTGTGTTTTGTGATACATAAATGGAACTTTTGTGCCCTTTCCGCCTCTGCACATTCCCTCATGTGCCAACCTTCCCATCCTGCTGGTGGCCCTCTAGGCTTCCCAAGTAAGGACTGTCATTTGGATTCCGTTGCTTTTCCCCCTGTCATGGGGAACCTGCACGAAGCGCCCCCGCCTCTCCACCGTCCCTGAATCTCCCAGAGCCAAAGGAGCTCCCGGATGGGGAACCCGGGAGGACACGGAGCTCTGGTCTGTTTCTCTGCAGCGTTCCTTCCCTGTCCCAGAGACGGAAAGGCACACGGTGTGCGGGTGCAAAGACACTGTGTCCTTAGGTGGCAGTACCCTAAGGGTGGTAAAAACCCCTCCCACTGCTCACCTAGGTCTCGCTTCCTTCTCTCCCTTTTCCTTGTTCAAGGGCCCAGGGTTCCTTCGAACCTGGGGCTTCCATGGTTTCCGGTTTTCCTTCCCTTCCTTTCTCCCAAAGGTCTGGGGAACCAGGGCTCCATTCCAGCACTTCATGGGGCACCTGGTACTTCTGGCCGTGTGGCCAAAGGCCCCGCAGTTTTTGCACTTGACCTGTGGGTGGAAAGGAAGTGATGTCAGTGAATGAGCTGAAGCCACAGGCAGTGATCCAATGTCAACATTGAGACGGATTGTGAATTCAGAACTGAGTGAGGATTCCAAAGCGGGGACACCGGCATGGGGGCCCTTAAGTGGCGGGAGGGTTCGGTTACGATGTTCCCTCCCAAAGCCCATGTGATGGAGGAACTCTCAAAGGAAGGACTCAGGGTTCTAGCGGGGACGATCGTGAACCCGATGTCCACAACACAGCCCAACCTGGCTACACAGGATTCTGAGTGGAAAGGGAGGTTGCTCCCAAGAGTCTCTCCAGGGACCTGTCGGGCTGGGGAGGAGGTCCCAAGCCAGTCCCACCTTGGATGGGAAAAGCAACCCGGGTGGTGCTGGCAGAACTCTTTGGAATCCAATCCAGTCTCTAAGGACCGTGTGACACTCGCCCCCTCCTCCCCCCTCGATACCCAAAAGATTCCAGGGCTAGACATACCCTGGGATCTTCTTCATCGGGTGGGGGAGCCCTTGGCCCAACTGGGGCCCTCTGCTGCTTCTGGAGGGTCTGGGCTCTCACGAGTCTGTTTGCCCCACTTTTGGGGTCACGACGTGCCATCATCTTCGTCTCCTGGGCGTTTTATGGCCGCCTTTTTCAGGGGTTGATGGTTGGGTCACCTGAATCGCACACAAACACACACAAAGCGATGGTTAGGCACATTGGATATTCACACACCCACAAGAAACCATCAGCTAATTCCATGACGGTGTGGTCATGAGGAGACCTCACCACCCGTCGGTCAAATCTGTGGATCACAATGTGGTGTGTGCATCCTCAGATATTGTGTGTTCCTCTGCCGTGACTACCTGGTCCAAGAGTAAACTTCGCCTGCCACATGGCCCACGGCCTAGGTATGTGGAGTTGGAGTTGAGATTTCAATCCCAACCAAACAACTGATTCTGGAGACTGGACTTAGGTCTATCACCACTCACTCCAGTAGAAGACACAATGATTCTCTCTCCCCTGAGGGACAAAAGAATAGAAGCTACAGGGCATGGCCGATGTCACCCCTTGGCAGGTCTGCTTGAAGTCAGGGATAAGGGATGCTTCCTATCAGAACTCAAATGGCTACTCTTGCCGTTTCATTAGGCAACTTCCAAACACAAATTCATCGAGAGAAGTTATCTCCCTCTCTACCACACTAGCAGGTGATGGTCTTTCCTGCTCTGTCTTTTTGGCTTTAGCTCCAGCCCCTCTTTATTTATTTTTCTGGTATTTTACACAGGCCATACGAATTCATCTAAACAAACGCTGAACAAGTGGCATATGAATTTCTTACATGGCTAAAGGGCAAACCACCCCTTTTCCAAAGTTCTTTTTCCATTTACCCACCAATTCAGCATGCTGGAGTAAATTTCTTTTTGCATTTCCATCTGGCTCTTCTCCCAGGCACGGAGATGGAAATGTTTTCTCGCTTTCTGTTCCAAGAATTACGGGTAAGGAGAACACATCCTACCGCATCAGCGAGCCCCAGTGTGATCTGTTTCTTTCACTTTCCTTTGTCTCTTTACCCCCAACCCCTCAGGGATTACGTGAAACAACCTGTCGTTCAGGGAAACTAACCTGAAATTACAGGTCTACTTTCTTTCCTCGGCTGGCGCTCAGATGGACAGGTGCGCTGGCGCTCAGATGGGCAGGTGCTGGAGCAGCCCTGCTGGAAGCGGTGCAGCCTTCAGGAAGCCGAAGGAAGGGGCAGAGAGGGACCTTTGCTTTCCAGGCTGCCTTTTATACTGCCTCTGGACCCCTGACGCGAAATGGACCCTAACCTAATCAACTTAATCCAATTACATGACCTGGAAAGGTCTATTTGCCCAGCCCACTCTAAGACGATGTTCACTATGGACAGACATTCTAAAACCTACCTGTACAGCTGCAAGTTTTGAAGAATAGATGTTTCCCGTCAGGTATGTAGCACTGGTGCATGTACCCCTGTCTGGTTTTACTTTTTTTTTTTTTTTAAAACAAGGTGCTAAAATAGACACAGTGTAATTGGACCATATTTACTCTATTTCAACGTAGGCCTCAGTGTCATCAAGGAGGTGCACCTTGACATGCAATCTCGATCGTTATCCATCTTCAGAGCTTCTCCTTCTTCCCCACAGTAAGTGCATCAGCACAAAACCCTGACCACACCCTCACGTGTTTTCTCCTCCAGGAGGCCCTTGGAAACCACCGTGAATTGGACTGCACTGGGAAACCCAGATGAAGAAAGTCAACACCTCTTTGTCCTTCGGTGCCTGGCTCCTTTTCAGCTCGTCCTGCGGCTCCAGGCATTATGCCTGAAGAGTCTCCAGGACACCGGTGGGGCTCTATTTCCTTGGGTCCTGTTGCCATTTCTCTGGATTTGTGAAGATCCAGCGGACTTCCTGTGGAACTCTCTTGTCGGGGAACTTGGGTGCCACGTCCCCTCATTCTGCCCTTCGTCATCTGCACCTGCACGAGTTAGGGTCCAAGTTCCCTGGACAGGAAGAGACAGGCAGGAGTCGGAATGGTGAACCAGCACACTGGGGGCATTTTCTCACTTGGTCCAAGTGACCCCATGGTCTTCTAGAGCTTTGGAACCAGTCGCGTCCCACTTGACACTACACCCGACTCTCAGTTGCTGAATCTTGTTGGCCCTCTGGCGATCTCCTGTTGGATGAGTTGCACCTGCTGAAACTCGATTTCCCCTGGATTTGCGCTTCATTAATTATTCATGATTCAGGTGGGAACGCCTGCTTACATCCCCCTGTGGCTGTTCTCTGAGCTTTCCGGTCACATCGTTTCCTGCCATGCCCTTTGGTTCATTTTGGTCATGCTCCTTGTGCTGTCAGAGGAGCAGAGAGTTGATCTTGTTGATTCTGGATACTGATAGTTTCTAGGTGATCTGGATAACCAAGGTAACGACCCTCAACGGCGGCGGAAAGGGAGCAGCCATTTGGCGTTGCTCAGAAAATCCCACTCAGTTCCCAGGCCTCCTAGATGTGGAATCCTGTCAGAGTTGTTCCCAGGTCAGAGAACGGAGATAGTCTGTGCATGGTGGGATATCTTTACCTAGAGCTTTCAGTGAGGCTCCACCTCAGCTACTCTTAGGATCGGGGGAGAAGCACGGAAAGGCCCTGTGCTCAGGCATCCGGAAAGAAGACGGGATGAATATTCTACCTCTGAAGTACATCCCAAATCTGGGAGTTTACTTCCCAGATTAATAGTGTCATCGATAATTATTAAAATTGGTCATTAGTGTTTAATAATTAATCATATTATTACTCCTAATGCCGCAGGGTGTGTACACCTACCTGTGATGTCATTCCTAATATCCAGGGAGGGAGAGCATGGTTTTAGTTTTAATATCGCAATAAGCGCACATTCACCCTGGGACACCAATCCTAATATCCAGTGTGGTAGAGTATGACATGACTCCCAACATAGCCATGAATAGACAGCCACCCGGTGATATGGCTCCTTATATTCACGGAAGATGAGTATGATATTAGTCCCAATATCGCAGGGAGGGTACAGGTCTTCTGTGTTATGATTTCTAATATCCAGAGGAGGAGAGGATGATAATAATTCCAGTGTCATAGGCTGTGTTCACCGGCCCTGTGACATTGTTATTAATGTCTTCAAAGGGAGAGGATATTACTCCCAACGTGGCAGGGGGTGTACATCCACCCTGTGATATTGTTTATATTCCAAGGCTGAGAGGTTGATATTACTCCTAGTATCACAGACACTGTACACCCCCGTGTTTTTAATCCCTGCGATATTCGGAGTAGTATCATCCTCTCCTGGGTGGAAATTGGGAACAGTATCACCGGGGGCGTGTACACACCCTGCGATATTGAAAGTAATATCATCCTCTTCCCTCCTGGATCATGGAAACAACATCACTGTGGGGGTGTACACTTTCTGCAATATTGGGAGTAACATTATCTTCTGTGCCTTGGATTATTAAGGACAATATCACGGGGGCATGTGCACATCTTCTGCAATATTGGGAATAATATTATCCTCTCTCCCCCTGCATATTAGGAAAGATATCACAGAGTGGGTGTTCACCTCCTTCGATATGGGGATTAAAACCATCTTCTCCTGTTCCGGATATCAGGAGGAATATCACACGGGGATGTACAGTGTCTGTGATACTGGGAGTAATATCAACCTCTCGGCCTAGGAATATTAAGAAGAGTATCACAGGGTGGATGTATACCCCCTGTCATATTGGAAGTAATATTAGCCTCTCCCCCCGATGGATATTAGGAACAATATCCCAGACTGGGTGTATGCCTCCTGCTCTACGGGGCATAATATCATCCTCTCCCTTCTATGATATAAATAACAATATCACAGGGCAGGTGAACACAGCCTGCGATACTGGAATTATTATCATCCTCTCCCCCTCTGGATACTAGGAACCATATCACAGATGAGTTGTACCCGCCCTGCGATATTGGGAGAGATATTATACACTTCTTCCGTGAATATTAGGAGTAATATCACTGGGTGGCTGTCCATTCATTGCTATGTTGGGAGTCATGTCATACTCTACCCCCTAGATATATAGCATCACTGCACAGGTGAGGCACACCTACTGCGATATTAAACTAAATCATGCTCTCCGTCCCTGGATATTAGGAACAACATCACAGGTAGGTGTACACCCCCTGCGGTATTAGGAGTAATAATATGATTAATTATTAAAGCTTATCTATGGTCGATTTTAGTAATTATCAATGACACAATTAATAGGATACCATTATTAACTATGAATAATTATTTTAAATATATGATTATGTACTCTTGAAAATAATTAGTAATATTAATGTCATTTAACAATATTATTAGTTCTTAATATTAATAATTATTTTTATTACCAACATCTTAGTATTGATTTAAGTAACATTAATTGCTGATATCATTATTTTATTAATAGTGATATTATGATTCGTCGCTATCACTAATCGTTAACATTTTTTACCAGTATTAATTTATACTATCTTTATTGTGATTATTAATATTGATGATTGCTATCAATTTTATTATGTTATTAATATTAATAATTTACAGACTTGTTCCTGATATCCGGCCGGGGAGAGAATGATATTACTCCCAATATCGAAGAAAGTGTACATCCCTCTATGATATTATTTCTAATAGTCAGGGGGTAGAGGATGACATTATTGAAACTATCGCGGTGGGTGTCCATCCCTTAGGTCATTTTGTTCCTTATATCCTGATATCCGACGGGGAGAGGATGATATTACTCCCAATATCGAAGAAAATGTACATCTCTCTATGATATTATTTCTAATAGTCAGGGGGTAGAGGATGACATTATTGAAACTATCGCAGTGGGTGTCCATCCCTTCGGTCATTTTGTTCCTTATATCCTGAGTGGGAGAGGTTGATATGACTCCCAATATCACAAGAAGTGTACTACCGCCTGTAATATAGTTCCTAACATCTAGGTGGGGAGAGGATGATATTACTGCCCATATCGCACGAGTTGTAAAACCCCTTCGATATTTTGCCTACGATCCTGAGGGGAGAGGATGATATTACTCCCAATATCGAAGAAGATGTACAACCCCCTGTGACACTATGTTCAATATCCACTTTGGGAGACGATGACATTACACCCAATATCGCAGGGGATGTACGTTCACCTTGGGATATTGTTCCTTATATCGAGAGGGGGAGAAGATGTTATTACTCCCAATAACGCAGGGGCTGTGGCTGTGCACCCCTCCTGTGTAATTGTTTTTAATATCCTAGGCAGGAGAGGATGACACTACGCCCAATATCGCAGGGGGTGTACATTCACCCGGTGATATTGTTCTTAATGTACTCCACCTCTGTCCGCCAGGGATATCGTTTCTAATATCCAGGGGAAGAGAGGATAACATTATGCCCAATATCGCAGGGGAGTGTACACACCCTCTTAGATGTTGTTCCTAGTATCCAAAGATAGAGACGATGATGTTACTGGCCATATCGCAGCGGGTGTACACCCATCTGTGATACTGTTTTTGACATTCAGTGGGGGAGAGGATAACATGAATCCCAGTATCACAGAAGGCGTACAGACCCCTGTGATGTAGTTCCTAATGTACAGGGGAAAGAGAAGAATATTGCTCTCAATATCGCAGGGGGTGTAACCACCTTGTACCCTGTATATTGCTCCTAATACGCAGCGGCATGGAGGCTGATAGTACTCCCAATATCCCAGAAGGTGCACACACACCTGTGATGTAGTCCCTAATATCTAGCGGGAAAGAGGCTGATTTTACTTTCGATATTGCAGTGGGTGTACACCGCCCCCAACCCCAGGGTATCATTCCTAATATCCAGGCGGGAAGAAGATGACATGGCTGACAATATGGAAGGGGGTGGACACCTCTTCAGTGATACGGTTCCTCTTATCCAGGGGGTGAGAGGATGATATTACTCCCAATAAAGTAGGAACCGTACAGCCACCCTGGGATTTTTTCCTTAATAACCACAGGGGATTGGTGACAT